TTTTAATGTTACTCAACAAATGCCTCTATAGCCCTTGCTACATGCCAGCCACTCTCCTAAGTGTTTCTGCAAATATTAACTGAGCTGATCCTCACTCCTGCCCTACAAGGAGAGCACTGTTATCCCTGCTTTGTGTATGAGGAAACTGAGAAACAAAGAAAGGTCCGAAACTCATCAAAGGTCCCATGGACAGGAAGCTACAAAACCAGGATTCAGGGGCGCCTGGGTGACTCTGTCCGTTAAGCCTCTGACTCTTGATTTTGGCTCAGGTCCCAGTCTCACGGGTTTACGATATCAGGCCTCGAGTCTGGCTCTGTGCCGACAGCACGGAGCCTGCTTGGGATTCTCTATCCCCCACTCTCTCTGCCCCTACCCTGCTCTCCCTCTCTCTCAAAATAAACAAACATAAAAAAAAAAAAAAAAAAAAAAAAAAAAAAAAACCAGGATTCAAACCCTCGCTGTCTGGCCACAGGCTCTGTTAGCCCGTGTGCTGTGCTTTGCCGAACTGACAATGTCCGCCATGTGCTGTGTGTAAAACCCCTGCTCGGTCCCAGGCACGTTCCCTGCCCAGACTTCAAGTCTCTTCCTCTCTGTCTCCTGAAATTTCTTACAGAAATCCAGTTCAGAAAATGATCATATTCACGCCAGGTTTTATTTTCTGAAATAGTGACTCTTCTCCTATCATATATTAATTTCTTAACTTCTCTGTTTTAAAGTCGCCTATATGGGGCACACCTGGGTGGCTCAGTTAGTTAAGCATCCAACTCTTGGTTTCGGCTCAGGTCATGATCCCCTGGTTCATGAGTTCAAGCCCTGCATCGGGCTCTGTGCTGACAGTGAGAAGCCTGCTTGGGATTCTCTCTCTCTTCCTCTCTGTCCCCCTCTACCCGCCCCCCCCCCACTCTCTCTCCCTCTCTCTGTCTCTCAAAACAAATAAAATACATTAAAAAAAAGTCTTTAAAGTCACCTATTCAGTACTGAATATTGGCTTCAGGGCAATGAAACAGAGATCACGTCTTTAGCTGGCTCAGTAAAATAGCCCCTTTCAGTCCATGTCCTTCCATATGGCAATCCTTGTGGTCGCAGGTCTAATTCAGCCTACTGCTGGCTTTTGGACTGGGTCAGGTGAAAGACAAAACAAAACAAAATGAAAACACCACCAGCACTGTTTACCTCCTCGATTTGCCAGGAGAGAGAAAGACCTATTTCACTTGGTAGAACATATGCAAATACAAAATGAAACTTCCATACTTCTGGAGTTGACTAACTGAAAATTTTTTGGATTAAAAACTTCAACCGAAGAATGGGCTGGCCAGACTTCGGTGGGTAAAAGCCTTCCTCCCTCAGCATTGCGAGTAAAAATTTATTTGCCCCCCCAGTGCAACGACTACCCAGCAGTCAGGCTTTTGGAGAACAGAGACCTCCAAAAACTCCAAAAACTAGCTCAGGTTGTGGCCTGCCCCAGCGTTTGCAGGGCCTGGGCAGGAGTTCGGGTGGCCTCTGTACCGTGCCTCCAAATATTTAAAAGGTGCAAATCAAGCCAACGTGTTGTTAACGAAAATAGAGTCTGCTCTCTCACCTTGACAAACCCAAGGCCAGAACAGACCTTGGGATCCTCCCCTGCTCTGGCGTCCATCCCAGAATGTGGCTGGCCGGCCCTGGCCTGACTCCCTCCTCCGCCCACTCCCAGCTCTTTGTGGCATTAGAAGAGGCTTCTCCCACACCTGTGGGTATCCGACCCCCGTGAAGCTGCTCCCCCCGGCCTCCTCTGCTCACCTCCGAGTGCCTGGAGGCACCTACCAGTGCCTGGGCCGGCGGCACGGCTCACTCAGCCACGCAGGCCCTGGGGCGCAGCGATGTCTGGGTGGGGATTCAGACTCCAGGATGCGTGCTGTAGGCGCGAGGTAAAACACAGGCTCTGGGCGGACACGTCCCCTTGACGCACTGACTTCTTGTCCTGTGGGGAAGCCTGTAACAGGGAATGACCGCGAAGGGGCAAATCTGGGCCCCCCGAGCGCAGCTCTCAAAAGTGTGGGCCCGGGGCAGCGGCCCCTCCTGCGGCGTCTAAAGGCTGTATTTCTCTGGAATATCCTCAGTCATCTGCTGTGTTTTGTGGGATGGAAAGGATTAGGAGGTGATGTGGCAGAAAGTTAATCTTCCGTGATGCTACCTCTGATCTTCCTCCGGCTAAGCCTTCAGTGAGTCCTATTGGTTGATTCTGTATCACACTGAGCTAAAAGCTGGGGGCATTTTTAGACCTTAAAAAAAAGAGAGAACCTTAATAGGAGGTCCCTCAAGAGGAGCAGATTTGGACACAAGAAGAGAAGGCAGTCCACTAATAATCTGTTTTCTTTTTTTAATTAGGGCGTTTAAAAAAATCTCTAGTATTATTTAGTTGGTTATTTAATTAATTTACTTAATTAGGCTCCACACCCAGTGTGGGGCTTGAACTCACAACCGTGAGATCCAGAGTCACATGCCCTGCCTACAGAGCCAGCCGGACGTCCCTGCTGGGATCTATTAAACAGCCCTGGTGGAAGGAGGGCCGGTTGAGTTCTAGGATGATGGCGCCTTCTGTTGAGATGATGATGGCGCTGACATGTGGTGAATACAAAGTAGCTGCCAAGCACCGCCAAACACTTAGCAAACTTTTGAGGACGTGAAGCTCAGAATGCTTCCTTAACTTGGCCCGGAGTCGTGTTGCTGGTGGAGTCACAACACAGATTACAATCCAGGTTTGTCGTACTATAGAGCCTCTCAACCAGTCCATTAGAACCAATTAGTACTTTAACAAAACAGGCACATCACTGGAATCCCAGCCAAAGACAGACCCAGCCTTGAGGCGCCTAGGCGGCTCAGTCAGTGAAGCCTCCGACTTTGGCTCACGTCACGATCTCACGGTTGGTGAGTTTGAGCCCCGCGTCTGGCTCTGTGCTGACAGCTCAGAGCCTGGAGCCTGCTTCCGATTCTGTTTCTCCCTCTCTCTCTCCTCCTCCTCCTCTCTCTCTCAAAAATAAATAAACATTAAAAATTTTTAAAAAAGACAGTCCCAGCCTGAACTACTGAATATCTTTAATATCTAATGGAAGCTTTAAGCATGCTGAACCCAATGAAGAAAGATGGTCTGAGGGAGAAGCCACCTAGAGAGTGACCGACATGGGGAGGTGGACCAAAGCCTGGGGAAAAAAGCTTTGACAATCCCTGCACCCCCACCAAGGGGCGGGGCCGAGGGCAGAAGACCTCGTGTGACTACTGAAAGGAGATGCTATGGACCAGAACTAGTGACCGGACGCTGTGGTCTACAAAACGTGGCAGACTTTGGAAGCACAGCAGGAGACTTCATCCCTACCAGTGCAAATCTTAGAGAGGCTTGATCTAGGGCTCAGTTAGGAGAAGAACGGCTGAATCTCATCCACAAGGCTGGATCCAAGAGGCGAAGTCGTGAAGAGGCCTTGCGAGGGCAATCCTTGACTCATTTTGTATTATTAAGACCAAGAGAAACTAATCCTTTGAAGAGTTCTTGTGATTCCTCAACTCCCTATTTTTGCTTTCCGTAAGAATTTCCCTGATGCCGTAGAATCACTTGCAAAATGATGAGATTTGTTCCCTTGTTCTGAGGGAAAAAAAATAGTTAAGAGTTGGGGGAACATGGAAGAGAGGAAACTGAGTGGGACACACAGGGGAGCAGAGGGAGAGGCAGAGAAGAGCCCATGTGGAAGGGCAGGTGGCGATTGTCCAAGGGGCATGGGTCACCGCTCACCTGCAGGAGAGAGAGGGGAAACTCTCCAAGAACAGAAATCAACCCTGGAAATTAATTGTGAGTGCCCCGACACCCCCTCCATCCTGATGGTGATGCCGCGGTACCCGTGTTCCTCAGGCACAGTGGGTGAAAGTTCGCCTGGCGATGGAGACGGGGACTGGGAAGAGCCCGCTTCCTTCCACCATAGATGTGGGCTTTGTACATTCCAAGTTAAATCACAGCGTCCCTGGGGTTTGCATCAAACCGTGCATCATGTTAAAGAAACTGTTACTGCCTTTTAAGAAATAACAGTACACCGTCCTTCCAAATTCTTGCTTCATCATATATAATTTTTTTAAGATTTTATTTGTTTTTGGGAGAGAGAGCACGTAAGCAGGGGAGAGCGGCAGAGGGGGAGAGAGAGAGAGAAAGAGAGAGAGAGAGAATCCTAAGCAGGCTCCACGCTGAGGGCTGGGCTCAATCCCACAACCCTGGGATCATGACCTGAGGCGAAATCAGTGCTTAACCGACAGAGCCACCCAGGCGCCCCTTAAAGATCTTATTTTTAAGTCATCTCCACACCCAATATGGGGCTCGAAACTACAACCCCAAGATCAAGAGTCACACACTCCACCAACTGAGACAGCCAGGTGCCCGTCTTTCTTCGTCATATGTAAATTTTACTTAAAGGAAAGCTCTGTAAACAAATGTTGAATTCTAGTTAAACACTTCAGCAGGCATATCCTTAGCGGCCAAGTGTATTGACGTCTGCAACTTACTCTGAAATGCGTCAAAACACTAAGATGGATTGATGGATAGACAAAGAGGTGGATTGTTGGATATGTATGTGGCCAAGCAAGTCCAGAAAAGTATTATTTACAGAGTCTTGGTATAAGGGTATTTACACATTTTCAGCTTTTCTCTGTGTTTGCAAATTTGCATACTAAAATGTTGGAAAGATTCTTTCTGGAGAGAAGAGACTCTTTAAAAAGATAGCACACAGGGGTGTCTGGGTGGCTCAGTCGGTTGAGCGTCTGACTTCAGCCCAGGTCACGATTTCACGGTTTGTGGGTTCAGGCCCCACGTAGGGCTCTGTGCTGACGGCTCGGAGCCTGGAGCCTGCTCGGGATTCTGTGTCTCCCTCTCTCTCCGCCCCTCTCCCCGCTCATGCTCTGTCCGTCTCTCTCTCAAAACAAATGTTAAAGTAAATAAGTAAATAAAATTAAATACACGAATGTCCAGAAAAGACTTCAATGATTAAGTGGTAAAATTTATACATTCTTTTTTTACGTAGTTTATATAGTTAGGTTTTTCATTAAGATAAAAAAAAATGGTACATAACATTATGTAAGTTTCAGGTACACGACATTATAATTTGACGTCTGTATGAACTACAAAGTGATCGCCACCAAAAGTCTAGTTGCCATCCATCCCCACCCATCTTGCCCACCCCTCTAGTAACCGCCGATGTGTTCTCTGTATCTATGATACCCGTTCCGTCTTAAAGCACAAGGCAGTTTGCTGGATTCTACGAGTGTGCTTCTGGGTGTTTAAATCTCAAGTCGCTCCTTGTAACTACAGTTGGTGCTCCGTAGTGACGGGCAGTTAGAAGTGGGGGGGGAGGGGTTAACTTTTCGCTTGTCTTTCTCCTGCCCACCTAAAAAAAAAAAAAAAAAAAAAAACCCAGAGAAAGCACTACAAAATAGTGTTGAGCCATGATTGTCTGAGATTCACCCAAGTTAAGCCCTAACGGTATACTTCCAGAGTTGATTGTTTTTCAAGTCACCTGCAACTGTACTTACCCTTGTAGTCTTTTTCACCTATGTGATGCTTGTCCAGAGCATTCTAGGTAAGATGCATCCATAGACAATGAGTGAATTGTCAATAATAGATGAAAAGTTATCTAGTGAACTCATTTGTTTTAATGATGTATATACAATTTCAATTACTTAAACAGAGTTTGAAAAGAAAATCCAATTTCAGGGAAAGACCGGAGTTAGAGATTTTTAGCTGTGTACAGCTCTTTACCTGTTTCTTGTGGCAAAACCAGTAAATTGCAGGATCATCAAGCACTAACACACGATAGCGTTAACGCACGATAGGCACCTGCATCCTGAAAAAATGAAAGAAATACCTCATTTCCCAAGAATATAAAGGATACATACTTAAATCAGAAAATTATGACCTTCAAATTTGCTATTTTTATCAAGTGAAACTCATTATGTTTCTGAGCCCCAAAAAGGTAACAGTCTGATTTCCAATTATACTTAATTTTAGTATACCTGCATTACTTAAACATCAGACACATAAACCAGTTTGTTGAATGATTACCCTGTTCAAACTTTGACTATTAAAGAGCTTTAAAGTGCAGAAATGAAAAACCCTTTACAGAGCATCAAGACTCTGTTTTAATGAAAAAGAAAACACTGGCCCAGAGACAGTGCGGGTTTGTGAAAAGCCCTTTGTCACTAACAGCCTCTTTCTTGAAAGATAAGAATAATGGGTTCCGTATTAGAAATGTGAGTTATCTAAAGAAAACAATATGGTAACATAATTGATATCTAGTGAGTTGCTTACGATTTAAAAAAATTATTTCCTAAGTAAAACTGTTTCCCCCTTTCCTTTGAAAAGCATTAGAACCTGGAACGTATTTACATAAAGGGAAGAGACACCATATTTAAATCACCTTTTAAAATGCTACATTTTCATTTATATTTAGAGAAAAAAACACAGGGAAAAAAAGTTGTTAGTTATCCTGAGGGTGGTGAGAATAACAGTAGGTGGAAAGTACAGCATAAAAAAAACATATTCCCCCCGAAACCAGACGAGAAGAACATAATCAGTTAGACTAATGATTAGAAATACGACTTACCTCCTTCTGACAAAGGTATTTGGGGGTGTATGGGAAGGGCCAAAGCCACCATGATGGATTAGGAAGCATATCAGAGCTCAGGGTCTCAAGCAGAGCACTCAACAATATTAGACAGGTTGTGTTTCAAACCTACCTTCCTCCCCGAGGACCGTCATCCCTCAGAAACCCTGCCTTAGCTCATCAAACTTAAATCACTTGACTCCGCAAGAACCCACACACTGTCTTCATGCCCCTGAGAGTAAAACTCTGGGGGTCGCCGGGCCTCTTAAATGACGGCACAACGTCCGTTCCCCGGCCAGGCTTTCTGAGCCCTGCCTCCTTCTCGCGGGGGCACAGCTGCCCTGACATGGACCGTGCAGGCTGTCAGAAAGAGCCCTCTTTAGGTTAGACTCCACTGGAGGGCCAGCAGGCACAGCCACAGCCAAAGAAAGCTTCATTTAATCACTCAGTTGGAAATACGTGCTTTTAATACAAGCTGCACAGACTGATTAGTGGATGTGTCTCGGGAGCCCCTTTTCGAGCCGAGAGGTTTTTAACACATCACACCAGGACTGTAGTTTCCTGAAGGGATCTCCCACCTGAGAGCAGACAGGGGTTTCGAGCAAGAAACAAAGACCTAGCCTTCATCTGGGCTGCATTTTTAAGCCACTCCCCCCAAGCAGAATCTTTCCTCCCTTCTAGTAAACGCATGTGGGTATACGTTCAAGTGAAGAGGGTATGTAAATGAACAAATCTGTGCCGTCCCGCATCAAGGCATCACCCCCCAGTCCACCACAGGCTCACCACTTCTCCCAAACAGGCACTTGGAGTGTAAGCACCGGGGGAAGGGGGGGGGGTGGGGAAGAACGCAAAAACACAAACCAAAGATGCATTGCAACCCAAGAGAGAGCCCTCTGCTAGGCTCTCAGAGTTCGGGCATTGATTCCACGCACCGCCTCGCTTCTGTTCCGGCGCGAGGCAGATCCACGGGTGTGAGGCAAGGTGACTCACAACAGGCATTTACAGCACACAGTCAGTCTTAGCAAATTAGGTAAATGAGAGATCGTTTGGTGGCCTTCTATTGTTGCTATTGTAATCACAGTCATTTTCCCTGGTAATGGCGCTTCGTGATGAAGTGCGGTCCTCACAGGATAATTGTGAAAGATACCGAAAGATTCGGGGTGCCGCATCTGGTTTTAAAAGCTCTTCAGATTCAAATTGGCGTTTTACTTTATCTTGAACATTTATTAGAGATTCAGATCATGCCGGCTTAAATGGAAAGGTGAAAAGCAGGGTAATTTCAATCTATGAATTATTCAGTCTCAGCCTGGTGAAATTGCCATCCATGAACTCACGCTCTGACAGCCTTCTCGCAGAGCCTGCATTATTACGCTTGTCATTTTTATTTCTTTATCTACGATCTCTTTCTCAGTTACCGAGCTGGTCCCTCAGGGCCGGGCTTCACAAACCAAAGTATTTCGAATTGGCAGTCACCTAAACGTGCGGCCGGCTCCACGGGCTGCCTTTTTTTTTTTTTTTTTTTTTTTCTCTCCTCCAGATCATTAAAAGCCACATCCACGATGGTATCTGTGAGGCTCCTCGATTAGATGGATTCAAACACGCGCGCACACACGCACACACAGGCATACGGGAGGGCATCACTGCGAAGAAGTTATGTCCCGCCAGCATCACGAGTGAAGATAAAGTGATGCTTTCTGCTTCCTTTGTTGTCTGCGTGCCCCTTCCTAGCGGCAGAGAGGAGCCAGCACGAAGGCGGGCTCGCCTGGCACCCTGATTTCCAACCAGAGCAGACGCAGACCGCACGCAAGGCAGGCTCATGCACACAACTGTGTGCTCTGGCGAGCACGCTTAGTTAGGAAAATAAGAAGAAGCCATCAGATGACCGGAATCAGGCTGTCCTTGTCTCGGGCTGCACTCACAGTAATTCTCCACTGATGGCTGGTTGTGTCACTGCTATTCGGCAGCCGTCCCCGCATCCAGAGAGGACTGGGATTGAATTAGGTCAGTGAGTCTGGTTTCCTCCTTGACACCGTGTTCTAACTGAGGAGGGGGGACCCGCGGCAGCCCCCGTGACCAGCCTCAACTGTCCCCTGGCTTCGGTTGGGTGGACGAGCCTTGCACGGGCCCCGGCCGGCCGGACCACGGCCAGCATCGTCTCCTTTGTCCTAGCCCTTACTCCTGCGGGTCTAGCAGCGCGGCCTGAGCCTGAGCCGCGCCCCCAGGCCGCGCCCGCAGGGGACGGGGACCCAGCCGCGCTCCACGAGGGGCAGTCTGGCCACCAGGCTCCCGGCAGTAGCCGCTCTGCTGCAGATTCACGCTGCCAACTTAGAAGCCCCCGTGCACATTCAGACTGCTTCTCTGCTCCTGGCTAAGCCAAAGGTAAATACTCCTCGCGTAAGGCATGCTGAGTGGTGGCAGCAGGACGGCACCCTGTGCCTAGCTGGCGGCCTCGGCTTGGCTGCACTGCGGCTAGGAGGCTGCAGGAGCCGGGCTCCGGCCGGCGTGAGCGTGCAAAGAGGCAGGGGCTCTGACGCGGCCGTCAGCTGACTCGCAGGGTGTCATCACGCAGGGGCCTCCGCGGAGTCAGGCCAGTCTCCAGGGTGGGGCACCGGTCAGATGACCTCGAATGCACCGCCTGGCTGAAGGAGGGCCGCCTTTGTGCGTCCATACCTGCCAGGGGACACCTCCCGTCGCTTTGCTCTCGGGCACAGTGTTTTACTCGCAGCCTTGGGGACTTAACCATTTCTGTCCTGCTTGCTGTGAGATGCCAGGTGATTCTTGGCGTGACCGTCCCGAGGCGCAAAGAGGCTGCAAATCGTCACTGCCCCTATCGTGTTGGTTGGCTCCAGCATCAGATGAGTCAATGAGGGAGAATTCCTGCCCCGCGTTTTGATTTTAAAAGCACAACTTCTTCTTCTCCTTCTCCTTCTCCTTTTTTTTTTTTCTTTAAACAGGTAGAAGTTGCCTTAAGCCACTTGGATGCTGTAGTGAACCCATAAATTGTGCCTAACCAAATGGCAAGAGCGATAGGAAAATCTCGGAGGTGAAGGAGATCAGCCAGTAACCCTAAATCACGGTCCGGTTGCTAGAAAGCAGTGCGCATGCGCGGTTACGAACCGCGGGTTGCGCATCGCAATTAATCTGACAACGGAGCCAAAGCCTTATATGGTATTACCCCAGTGGTTTGAGGAATGCCGAAAGAAGAAAGCAGTCATTACCAGGCATTTGTTTAATGACTGTAATCATCCTGAATTAATTTAACTTGCTGCAATGTTTAACAGAAAGTCAATTATAAATTTGTGCTACAAGAATAACAATGCTAGTATTTGCATAGCACCTTCCTCTGAGGAGACATCCTCTGAAGATCATCTCGTACCCTCCGCGTTTACAGAGCACTCAGAATGTGCTAAGTGCTTCAACCCATGGGCCAGCCTCTCCGAGGACAGGTGCTTGTCATTCTGAGCCACAGTGACGCGTCCCTGTGGTACGAATAGCATACAGGGGATTGCTCCGTGGGCCTATGCTAGGCACTTGGTCAGGATTCAGCAGGGTTTTGTTTTGTTTTTTTCCCCTCTTTGTGTGTCTTATGAATTTTATTTTTCTGTCTCCTTCTTCTCTGGTTGTGTTGACATGATCCCCCCCCCCCCCCCGCCCAGGAAACAAACAGAAGGCCAAACCTAGACGGGAGAAACATCATCCGTGTAATTACAGAATTATTGTATTAGGAATACTCCGAGTATCAAAGCCAGAATTACTATAAGTACTTAAACGAAGGACTGATCCTACTTGGAGGCGGTGAGCTGGTGGGAGGAGCTGTGGCCCCAGCCGAGGGCTGCTACCTGCACTGAGCCCAACATAGCTTTTCCTTCCCAGACTCTCATTAGAGGATCCAAACCTCTTAAGTTGGCCTTTGCTCCCTTGTTGCAGAATTTGTTACCAGGTAATGAGCCCCAAAGGATACAAATAACCAATCAGGTTTAGCATCCTTCTTCGGAGACATTTATCATTTTGAGGAAAATAAAACTTCCAGCAAAGTTATGGCTATCAATTGTGGCATTTCAAGCACTAATTCATTTCCGAGGGGCGAGGAGGCCTTCTCGTTCACCATAGGGCAGATCTGTGCCCGTGGGGCTGACCTCCCCTTGGCGTAGGTAAGGCTCGGCCTCGGATCTCCTCAAGCCAGTGCGCACTGTGAACGTGGGTGGTCCGTGTGGGGCCCTGGGGCAGGCGGGAGAGACGCCAGCAGCCTCTCTCACTGACATCTAGGGCATCCCACCTTTGCTCGTGGTTTCTCTCAGGTCCTTGCCCACTGAGGAAAAGAGACTCAAGCGTTGGTGTTTTTAAGAAGCGTCCCAGGCGATTAATTCCACCATGTGCCCAAGATTGGGAACTACCGATTAAAGATGAAATGCACTCCTGTTTTGCAATGTGTGAATCTGTTGTTTGTAAGTTCATACGGTGCATATTATAGTTGACTGCAAGAATGAAAAGATAAAAACAAGGGCTTCAGTTTGCCTCTCTGTACTGTTAACGTTCTGTGCAAATCAATGAAAAGGAAATTTTTTTAGGTTTATGTATTTATTTTTGAGGGGGGGGGAGGAGCAGAGAGAGAAGGAGAGAGACAGAGAGAGTAAAGGAGGGGCAGAGAGAGAGAGAGAATCTGTCAGCACAGAGCCCGACGCGGGGCTCGAACTCACGGACCGCGAGATCGTGACCTGAGCCGAAGTCGGACGCCCAACCGACTGAGCCACCCGGGCGCCCCAAAAAGGAAATGATTTTAACAGAGAAAATCTACATGGTTATGACACACCCACATATCTGTAACGGGGACAGTCTAGTTACACGCGGTAGTCACACCCTCCCACGGCGCCTTGTTCCTTCCTCTCTTGCAGTGCCGGCCGCCTTGTGTTGAGACTTTTTGTTGACCTAGTATCCTCCTCGGTGGACTTGAGAGTTCTTCGAGGGCAGGGGCATGACACAGTCACCCTGATGGCCCCAGTGCTTTCTCTCTGCCTGGCAAGGGGTGCCTCTTCAGTATTTGCAGAAGGAAAGACAGAATGCCGAGAGACGTCTCCCGGTTAGAGAAGAAAGCTCAGAGACATCCAGGGTTCCACCATGAGAACAGCAAGCTTTCCTTGCAGATTATCGTGCTCCCAAGGACTAAAAGAACACTAATCCCCAACCACAAATACTGACTTAAAACCTACATAGCAATTTTAGAAAGGGTGTGTGGTCAGTCAAAGCCCTGTATGTGTTTAATGACTAAATCTCCCTTCGTTTCAGGTATTCAGAAATCGAAAGCACACATTTCATTTTGCTTTGCATTTGGCACGATGAGGCCAGTGAGGTGGTGACCCTGCTTGCCTTGGCTAGCCCTCTGCCGTCCCCAGCCTAGACGAGGAAAAAAGTCTGTTCCTAAGCTCTCCGGAAATCTCCACTCTGATACGTGCACTTTTTTTTTCTTCTGCCATCCACTCTCTAGAAGTCTTGGGATCACTTGTCCGTGCTTCTACGCGCATATGCAATACAATAAATAGGATTATCAAGGAAATTAATTGTATTAAAGATTCTAGCTTAAGAACTCTTGCCTTGGAAAATCAAAATCCCTCCAAAGTGAAATTACAAAGTGACTCCGATTGTCTCTGGTCCGACTTTTGTCCAATAAGAAAACAAGTTCAGGAAGAGCCGAGACAAGATAAAGGGGTGGGAAGGAGAATAGATGACTGTATTTATTGAATTTCATTAAACTTGAAATGGTGTTTCCTCTCAAAAGTGACCTTTCTAATGACTAGCGCATTCCCCATTTTCACATTTAAAAGAACACACCATACTTTCCAAACCACCAACTCACATTAGAGAGACCCTTCCTAAGGCGTAAAAAAAAAATATATATATATATGGAGGCAATTTATTCTTTCATCTTTTTGTTTTACAAGTGAGGGAGAAAATTGAAGCTCAGAAAGATGGAGTCTCGCTTACAGCGGCATATAAGTAAAGAGGCAGTAGATCCCGGAACCCAAATCTCCTACACCTGCATCAGCACCCCCTCCTTGTACACATTTAGTCAGCCATGTGCAGGGATTGTAAAAGCTGGGGACCAAACCATCGGCAGCTTGAATCAACCGCAGTGAGAATATTTACACCACAAAAGTGGGCAGACACTAAAATCTGGGTTGTTGTTTTTCCTCTGGAGGGCTGCCTTACATGTTGTAATATATTTAATCATGCCAATTTACGTAAGTTTTATGTGTACTTTCATTTCAACTCCAGAATCCAAAGTGCTTAAGAATATGAAGCATAATGGTTAAGCCTAAAGCTCTCAGGTCAGAGGGCCTTTAATCCTATACCCCTGATTCTCTGTGTGACCTTGGGGTAAGTTCAGTCCCCAAGTTCAGTCTGGGATTCAATTGCTTCTGTAAAACAAAGATGCAAAGCCTGTGCACACAGGTTATGTGTATTCGTGAAGCCATGCACATGAGCTACTTAGCATGGACTCGCTCACACTGAGCTCCCAGTGGCCGTTAGCTGTGATTAGTTTCCTCTTCTGTCACCTCTCCCTCCTTTTTCTGATTCAGTTGGTCATCATGGCAGATTGACATTATTTGCACTGAGGTGGGCAAAGCTATGTTTAAGAGATTACAGGCAAAACACAAAAACCCTGTCCAACCAACTCGGGATTTGGGAGAATGGAGGGTGACCCTGTGGTTCCTGACTCATGTGGGTAACCAGAGATTCGAAGGACCGGTGTCTTTTTTGCATAAATTCTGTAATCCAAGAGAGCATCATGATTCAGCAGAGAGATTATTGAGGGACATGGTTTCAGCATGATTTTAGAGGTTTTAGAGAAGACAAATTAAGACCATACACTGTATTAGGGGTCTTCGGGCAAAGACCAAGTTGCAGATTGTACACAGACAGGCAGTCGGGCCTCTCGGCCTGCGGTCACGTAGCCCCCTTCACGGGTGTGTTTTCATTTGTGGAGTCTCATGGCCAATTTGCACACCTGCCGAGACATGTGTATTTTTCAGAGCTAAGAATTCTTCCACTAATAAGATCAAGCTTTAAGGGAAGAGGCTCTGCCTGCAGGCTCTGAAGGACTTAGTCCACAGAGCCAAGGTGTTGGAATGTCAAGTCGGCCCTATCTAGAGGGCAAGAAGCCAAGGAGATGCCCCCTCCCCCTTTTTGTTGGCATGGGCAATGCTCATGGAAGGCGCCCCGCAGGAACCGCACAGGAATGCTCATGTTAGCTGTCTCATCTTTTGGGCTTCTCTGAATTCAGTGTTCTTGGACACGGGACCACCATTACAAGGAGAAGGTAGAGAAGAATCTTGGAAGCAGTGGGGCAGAACCACCCTGCTTCCACTCATCCCACCCCAACCACAAAAGAGCAAAAATAGGTGGGGGACGCCTGGGTGGCTCAGTCGCTTAAGGGTACGACTTCAGCTCAGGTCATGATCTCACGGTCCATGAATTCAAGCCCCACGTTGGGCTCTGTGCTGACAGCTCAGAGCCTGGAGCCTGCTTCGGATTCTGTCTGCGTCTCCCTCATTCTCTGCCCCTCCCCGACTCAACTCTGTCTCTGTCTCTCAAAATTGAATAAATGTTAAGAAAAATTTTTTTTTAAAAAAGAGCAAAAGGGGGACAGGATTATCACCATGGTACCCTAGGTTCAAACAGAATCCCAAGGGAATACAAAATGAAGTCATGCCATTCTTCTAGACTGAGTTTTCTAGGCAGTAAGTTCTATTAGAAAGGACAGGTCACCTGACCCTCCTTGCCCTGCCTCCCTTCAAGGGTTGTGGGTCTCCTGGCCCACCTACTTTGGGTTTGCTCATTTTCAGAGCTAAAGTTCCACTCCCAGAAAATGGCATCAGCGGGGACAACAGGAACCCTCTAAATAGCCAGGCTATGGCCCAGGAGACATCAGCCTCCCAGTCCCTGAAGAAAAAGATGCTTTAACCCAAATACTAATGTATAATAACAGAACTGCAAAAAAAAAGAATAGACATAATTACCATTTATTGAGAGTTTACAAAGTGCCAAGTACGCATGATATCTTCCCAATCATAAGTATAATAATAAAAGTAAATAAATAAAATAATAAGTATAAAAATAAACGCATGCATAGGGCTTACTATGGCCAGAGTGCCAACGGCTTTACATGTAATAACCTACTTAATCCCTACGACAACCCCGTGAGGAAGGTATTCTCATACCGACTCCATTAGGTAGGAACTATTAGGTCCCTGTCACAACTGGGAAAGCGGAAGCACAAAGAGAGGAGTATTGTTCAAACCACACATCTGGGAAATACAGGCTTGGGGATTCAAACCCGCATTGTCTAATCTGGGTTCAAATTTAAATCTTGTGCTCTTACACATTGACATTCAAACATGGGCTTCCTACAACGGTCTTTAAATGGTTTGAAAGAGCCCAAGAGAAAGGAGAGAAAAATAGAAACTAGTTTTGGAGTCACTGAGGGAAGGGTTACAATCTAAGAGGTTGTGACCAGGGAGACCCTGTCCCATAAGAATATTAGCAAAATGAGCTTTTCGTTAAAGCATTCCTTTAAAGATACTTGAACTCATCGGTATGGTAGTAAATTGACTCTCTGAGGCTTCCTCTGTTCACTCCAGAAACCATATCATTTTATAATGCCTATGCATTCGGGACAGCCTTCATTTCATACTGAACACACAGCTCTGTGATTTTCCAGAATTTTCTGTGATTTTAGGCAGTCTCCCATATCTTTCTTGCTCTCCCTCCCAAGCTATGTGTTGTCACTTCTTATATTTAATGAAAGATGTTTTTACTTTTGTTGTTCTTATTTTGAAAAGGAAGTGAGACATTTATATTTCTCTTCCCTTGACCTTCTAAGAAATCTAACAAATGTGTGTGGGTTTTTAAGTGGGAATGACTCTTGGTTGGGTAAAAGCTTTTCTCTGTGAATTGGTCGGCCTTTGGGAGACCTAAGAAACGTGCAGGTGTATGTGTACATGTGCACGAGTGTGCGCATGCGCACACACACACACATGCACACACACACACACACACACATACACGTGCATTCAACACTATTTACTGTGAACCCTAGGCAGCCTGGAGCTTGTCTGAACACACAACGCTCACCATTTTGGATTTGCACCTGTTCCCAACCACTTTTCCTGCTCTAGCTGTGCACGATATTTTGAGGCCCCAACAGCCAGGCAAGTTACTCTGTAAGTACATGATCACCATGAGGTCATGATGTGAACTCAGACCTAGAACACTAAATGGCAGTTACCCCTTGAGAAACAATGTAACTCTAAGGATAATCACCATGTTCTGTGTAATTTTTTTTAGATCTTTGGGGGTGCTAATTTGTAAAGCATATATAACCAAATGAATAATTACATAGCAAGGGGCTAAAAGGCAATTACAAAATAATTGCATGCTATTTGATCCCTCCATGAAAACATGCTTAACAGAATGTTCCCCTAAACTGTTTCTGTACCTGTGGAACACTTTAAGGTTATTCTTTTTCCTTAACTCTTTTGAAGAATGTTGTTTGGTAAAATATACT